CCCAGATAAGCGAGCCTGTATGTGCATTAGCTGTTGTCCGGTCTGTGTTTCATCCCTGAACTGTAAACACAGACGGCAGAGTCGGTGCGGAAGGGAGAGGGGGAGGGAGGGGGGAATCACCAGTACAGTGCCCCACTCCGCCAATATTTATGGGCATCCTTGCCCCACCTCGAAAAACAGTTCGCCTGCAAATTAGTATCGGTGAGAAAAGGTACCACCGTGTAGGCTTTGACTAATCAGTAGTCTTTGATTCTGGTACAGATTTTTACAGTTTCTAGCGTTTGACTTGAACTCTACTAAAAATTAATCCAGGACTATCAAGAAAAGCCGATAGCCAACCATATGGCTTGGCACTCACACAAGCTGAATTCCAAAAGCACTATTATCCTTTCCAGTTGTACATACATAGTAGTTATGATATCAATAGAAATATTAAAGAGACGTTATGATGTTAATAAAAATGTAAAATTGTACTAGAATATCAAATTGACAGAAATATCTTGGTCCATTGAATCGTATGCATTCCTGTTTAATATTTGTCCAGTATAACGTTTATGGCATTAGTAAAATAAATGAATAACATGAAAAAAATTTATAAGGAAATGTGTTATAGTTTAAAAAATAAAAAGGGAGAAAAAAATTTAAAAAATAAAAATTAGTCAAAGATTCGAGGCTTGAAAGGATGCTCGTAGCACACCATATCTGCTATATGAGAGAAAATAGCTATACAAATAGTTAAATGCACCATTTTGGACTTTTTCACTTGCAGGAGTGAGCACGTAATACAGCGACAACCGCCAGGATTCGCGCCCTATGATCATTCCTACGTGAATATATTGCCGCAACGGCGTTCTGCAACTTCATCGCCACAATGCGTTTCGCCTGCTCTAAGGGGATATGCTTCAGCTAATCAGTTCACTTTGTAAGCTATTTCTTAGACGTCACAAACACGCCGATTGCAACTCTCTCAGATTCTCTGTTCCCAGACTGCATAAGTCCAGTTGGTATTCATTGTCTGTTTGATGTATGTAAGCCGTCCCGTCATGGGTCACCCGAGTGGTCGTTTACTTTCTCGTGGGTATCACTTACCAATACGCGACATCCACTTGTTAGCAAGAAGAGCAACACACCTGCCCATGGACTTTGCCGGATCCAGGGAGAGGGGAGAAGGGCT